ACAGTACAGGATTAGCCCAACTAGACCGGAGGCTATTTATAAGGGGCTAGCCAAAAACATAAAACAACTAAAGTTTAACGATCTCATACCTTCGCCAAGTGATGTTTATCTCTATGAATGACAAAGTAAAAATTATCCCTCCTGATTATGCAAATAGGATCCTCACTTGTATGAATTATATCATTTGATTATATTCTCTACCAAAAGACAGCTGCAGTACCACAACAAGCCGCCAGGGGCCCCAAAATCTAATCATTTAAGGTCTCATTAAGACCTACAAACCTACGAAGAATGAAGACCATTTAAGCCTTCACGAGTTATCGTGGTCACAAACAGACGGACAGAGAGACACACGAACGCCTCTGAAAACATAACCTCCTTAGCAAAGGTAATAAGTAACAGGTAACAGTAACGACGCCAAACTTTTGCTTTCTATGTCTATCCATTACCCTAACACAAACCGTAATCATAACACGGTCATTAACTTTTTACTATAGCGTTATCTAAATACTACAAACATGTACAATTCCAAAACCAAAGACAATTTGGCAAAACGGTTTGCTGTTCTGGAATACATGTGTCATACCCTTTTTAACGATACAAAACTTGTTCTACCTAGGACTTTCAGTTACCCTAACCCAAACCCTAAAGATAACACGATCATTAACATTTTACCGTAGCGTCTTCTGAAAAGTTCAAACACGTACAATTCCTAAACCAAATACGATATTCCAAAACTGTTTGCTGTTCTGGAATACTTGTGTCATACCCTTTCTAACGATACCAAACATTTGCTCCCTACGGCTTTCGGTTACCCTTACCCTCACCCAAACCCTATCGATAACACGTTCATTAAATTTTTACCATAGCGTGGACTGAAAATTTTAAACACGTACAATTCCAAAATCAAACACGATATATCAAAACGGTTTGCTGTTCTTGAATACGTGTGTCATACCCATGCAACGATACCAAACATTTCCATCCTACGACTTTCGCTTACCCTAACCCAAACTCTAAGCATAACATGGTTATTACATTTAAACCATAGCGTCATCTAAAAAGTTAAAAAAACGTACAATTCCAAAACCAAAGACGATATTTCAAAACGGTTTGCTGTTCTAAAAAAACTTGTGTCATACCCTTTCTAACGACACCAAACTTTTACATCCTGGGACTTTCGGTTACGTAACCCTAACCCTAACCCTAAGCATAACATGATCATTAACTTTTTACCATATCGTCACCGGAAAAGTTCAAACACGTACAATTAGAAAACTAAATACGATATTTCAAAACGGTTTGCTGTTCTGGAATACTTGTGTCATACCCTTTTCAACGATACCAAACTTTTACATCCTGGGACTTTTGGTCACCCTAACCCTAGCCCAAAGTGTCACCATAATATGATTATTAACTTTTTACTATAGTGTCACCTAAAATTTTCAAACACGTACAATTCCTAAACTAAAGACGATATTCCAAAACGGTTTGCTGTTCTGGAATACTTGTGTCATACCCATTCTAACGATACCAAATATTTTCATTCTAGGACTTTTGGTCACCCTAACCCTAGCCCAAACTGTAACCATAACATAATTAGTATCCTTTTACCATAGCGTCACTTGAAGAATTCAAACACGTACAATTCCAAAACTAAAGACGATATTCGAAAACGGTTTGAAGTTCTGGAATACTTGTGTCATACCCTTTCTAACGATACCAAACTTTTACAACCTGGTACCTTACCCTAGCCCAAACTGTAACCATAATATGATTATTAACTTTTTACCAAAGCGTCACCTGAAGAGTTCAAACACGTACAATTCCAAAACTGAAGACGATATTCCAAAACGGTTTGCTGTTCTGGAATACTTGTGTCATACCCTTTCCAACAATACCAAACATTTGCTTCCTAGAACTTTTGTTCACCCTAACCCTAGCCCAAACTGTTACCATATTATGATTTTTAACTTTTTACTATAGCGTCACCTAAAATTTTCAAACACGTACAATTCCAAAACTAAAGGCGATATTCCAAAACGGTTTGCTGTTCTGGAATACTTGTGTCATACCCTTTCTAACGATACCGAATCTTTCCATTCTAAGACTTTTGGTAACCCTAACCCTAGCCCAAACTGTAACCATAATATGATTATTAACTTTTTTACCAAAGCGTCACCTGAAGAGTTCAAACACGAACAATTCCAAAACTAAAAACGATATTACAAAACGGTTCGCTGTTCTGGAATACTTGTGTCATACCCTTTCGAACGATACCAAACATTTGCTTCCTAGGACTTTCGGTCACCCTAACCCTAGCCCAAACTGTAACCATAATGTGATTGTTAACTTTTTAACATAGCGTCACCTAAAAAGTTAAAACACGTACAATTCCAAAACTAAACACGATATTCCAAAACGGATTGCTGTTCGAAAATACTTGTGTCATACCCTTTTTAACGATGCCAAATCTTTTGATTCTATGACTTTTGGTCACCCTAATCCTAGCCCAAACTGTAACCATAATATGATTATTAACTTTTTACCATGGCTTCACCTCAAGAGTTCAAATTTTACCATGGCGTCACCTCAAGAGTTCAAACACGTACAATTCCAAAACTAAAGACAATATTCCAAAACGGATTGCTGTTCTAAAATACTTGTGTCATACCCTTTCTAACTATACTAAATATTTACATTCTAGGACTTTTGGTCACCCTAACCCTAGCCCAAACTGTAACCATAATATGATTATTAACTTTTTACTATAGTGTCACCTAAAATCTTCAAACACGTACAATTCCAACACTAAAGACGATATTCCAAAACGATTTAAAGTTCTGGAATACTTGTGTAATATTCTTTCCAACGATACCAAACTTTTACATCCTGGGACTTTTGGTCACCCTAACCATAGCCCAAACTGTAACCATTACATGATTATTAACTTTTTACCATAGCGTAACCTGAAGAATTCAAACACGTACAATTCCAAAACTAAAAACGATATTTCAAAACGGTTCGCTGTTCTGGAATACTTGTGTCATACCCTTTCGAGCGATACCAAACATTTGCTTCCTAGGACTTTCGGTCACCCTAACCCTAGCCCAAACTGTAACCATAATATGATTGTTAACTTTTTGACATAGCGTCACCTAAAAAGTTCAAACACGTATAATTCCAAAACTAAGGACGATATTCCAAAACGGTTTGCTGTTCTGGAATACTTGTGTCATACCCTTTCTAACGATACCGAATTTTTCCATTCTAAGACTTTTGGTCACCCTAACCCTAGCCCAAACTGTAACCATAATATGATTATTAACTTTTTAAAAAAGCGTCACCTGAAGAGTTCAAACACGAACAATTCCAAAACTAAAAACGATATTTCAAAACGGTTCGCTGTTCTGGAATACTTGTGTCATACCCTTTCGAACGATACCAAACATTTGCTTCCTAGGACTTTCGGTCACCCTAACCCTAGCCCAAACTGTAACCATAATATGTTTATTAACTTTTTACCATAGCGTCATCTGAAGAATTCAAACACGTACAATTCCAAAACTAAAGACGATATTCCAAAACGGTTTGCTGTTCTGGAATACTTGTGTCATACCCTTTCTTACGATACCAAAACTTTTCCTCATAGGACTTTTGGTCACCTTAACCCTAGCCCAAACTGTAACCATAACATGTTTATTAACCTTTTAAAATAGCGTCACCTGGAGAATTCAAACACGTTCAATTCCAAAACTAAAGACGATATTCCAAAACGGTTTGCTGTTCTGGAATACTTGTGTCATACCCTTTCCAACTATTCCAAACATTTGCTTCCTGGGACTTTTGGTCACCCTAACCCTAGCCCAAACTGTAACCATAATATGATTATTAACTTTTTACCATAGTGTCACCTAAAATCTTCAAACACGTACAATTCCAAAAGTAAAGACGATATTCCAAAACGGTTTGCTGTTCTGGAATACCTGTGTCATACCCTTTCAAACGATACCAAACTTTTACATCCTGGGACTTTTGATCACCCTAACCCTAGCCCAAACTGTAACCATGATATGATTATTAACATTTTACCACAGCGTCACCTGAAGAGTTCAAACACGTACAATTCCAAAACTAAAGACGATATTCCAAAACGGTTTGCTGTTCTGGAATACTTGTGTCATACCCTTTCCAACGATACCAAACTTTTACATCCTGGGACTTTTGGTCACCCTAACCCTAGCCGAAACTGTAACCATAACATGATTATTAACTTTTTACCTATTGCGTCACCTGAAGAATTCAAATACGTACAATTCCAATAGTAAAGACGATATTCCAAAACGGTTTGCTGTTCTGGAATACTTGTGTCATACCCTTTCTAACGATACCGAATTTTTCCATTCTAAGACTTTTGGTCACCCTAACCCTAGCCCAAACTGTAATTAACTTTTTAAAAAAGCGTCGCCTGAAGAGTTCAAACATGAACAATTCCAAAACTAAAAACGATATTTCAAAACGGTTCGCTGTTCTGGAATACTTGTGTCATACCCTTTCGAACAATACCAAACATTTGCTTCCTAGGACTTTCGGTCACCCTAACCCTAGCCCAAACTGTAACCATAATATGATTATTAACTTTTTACCATAGCGTCATCTGAAGAATTCAACACTGGAAAAAATGGCCTGGAATACACCCATTTCCGGAACGTTATTCGTCCGTATCTTCGGCAGATATCAATGGATACAGACAGATCCGCTTCGGATTTTTCGCATCCCCGGATTTTCGGATTCTTAAGGATTCGCACAATTGAATCCGGAAGAATCCGAAATTGCGTATTCTTGAAGGATGTGAATCCGAATTCTTCCGCATCCTTGGTCGTATATCCTTTTGTGTTTGCATATGAATTCGACCGTATCTCAAGCGGAGCTGCATAGCTAGCTAGTATATTTCTAGTCCGATCCGTCGGTATTTGTGACGGATACTTTCGGATCCAGAATGCGGAACTGACAACATCCCTACCGTATCTCAAGACGGATCCGTCGGTATTTGTGACGGATACTTTCGGATCCAGAATGCGGAACTGACAACATCCCTACCGTATCTCAAGACGGATCCGTCGGTATTTGTGACGGATACTTTCGGATCCAGAATGCGGAACTGACAACAGTCCCTACCGTATCTCAAGACGGATCCGTCGGTATTTGTGACGGATACTTTCGGATCCAGAATGCGGAACTGACTAGCCAGCTGGCCATGCATATGGGTGCCATTCTCCGCCGTTTCCACTGGCTCAGAACCTAATTATAATGTCGCGGTACGTAGCCAGTGACATTACGGAAGCGGCGGAAACGACGGAGGATGACACCCAGGCTAGAAACTGACAACATCGCTACCGTATTTCTAGCTGGATCCTTAGTTATATGTGACGGATACCCACGGATGTAAAATAACTGTATATACAAGGACTATTGGAAGATACTGTGCGTATTCAACTCTTTTATTATTTTCTTTTCGAGGCATCGAGGTCCCTTTTAAACGCTGACGCTGCCGTTGTCGCTTTCGCCTTCGTCCTCACTGCTGCTCTCACTGCCGCTCTCGCTGCCGCTCTCACTGCTCTCCTCCCCGTCGCCCTGGCCCTCGCCGTCGCCCTGGCCCTCGCCGTCGCCCTGGCCCTCGCCGTCGCCCTGGCCCTCCCGGGCGTCCTGGTCCTCCCGGTCGTCCGGGTCCTCCCGGCCCTCCCCGGCCCCCTGACCGGCCTCCTGATCGCCTCCCTCTTCATCCTCCGGCAAGAGGTAGCAGGAGGCGACACTGGGAGGCCTTGGTCGGGGGCTGGGGGTAGTGGTCATTTTGCGCCGGTGGCACTGCCGGCTTGCCTTAGTTTTGTCCAGCTTCGCCTGGCACAGTTTGAGGATACCGTTGAGCCTCTCGCTGCGCCAGGCGGGCTGTTTGACCAGCCAGGTGTGGTCAGGATCCTCGGGATCGGTATCCTCATCCGACATGAGTAGGGGCGCCTTTGATATTCCCTCCAGGAACTGCCTGTCCCTGGGGCTCAGGAAGGTTCGCCCCACCTCGATCCTGTCGTCCTTCAGCTGTGTAGAAGAAGGTGTATTAGGTTAGGGGCACAACATTATGACCGGCGTATGTCTGGATAATGCTATAATACAATTTTTAGAATACTAGTATTACTTTGTTTGTCATAAATTGATTGTGTAAATATCTGTTTACGCTTCATATACCTACGTATCCAGTATCAGGAAAATCCGTTGATCCTTTCTTAAACGCCCCCTATGCCTACAATTCTGGAACATAGGCTACAGGGCTCAAATGTATGCAACTTATTTCGGAGCACTTGAGCTATGCTACCATTTAAGAACGTGACCATATCTTGTACAAAATACAGGCTGTCAAAACTGAAACTCCACTGTAGTACCCATGAAAGCCACCGGCGTGCTCGGAATCCAATTATTTCGTTTTTGTCACAACCTAAAGCACAACAGCTGTTCTTGAGTTGTCTTGGTAACGAACAGGCCGACGCCAAAAATAGTTCCTCAACTTCTAATGGGGGCAATTGCGTATTGAGGAAGAGCAGTATCTGCAAGCCTAAATTAATGTGCATGTAGCTACGTACCCTGTGCTTTCTTTTCAGCTTCTTGCTGTCCGTTTTCTTCTTCTCTGCCAGCCCCAGCCGCCGGTTCTTGTCCGCCCTCCGGAGGTTTTCATGACAGTTCCTGATGGCTTCTAACACAAGAAGCAGAAATACATCCTCGATCAACTTGCCAAACGCTAATATAAAAGTTGTCTTCCAAATTAAAAAAAAAGGATTTTTTTTACATTTCCATTCTTGTTTCCTTTTCACATATACTTGTTGGATTTTATTTGTACCAGGCATAGTTTTTAACATAACCGATATGGTAGTAATCATAATATTGCGGGACGCAGCAGGATTAAAATCTACAAAACCCTGTTTCCAGTATATGATGTGATAGGTCCTTGTCAGTTGCTATAATCACAGAATATTTATTCGGTGATTATGGCAAATGGCAAGGTCCTATCACATCATATACACCGGGAAACCGGCGGGTCACTAACGTTATTATCATATAACCTATACAAATACACTGCCAGACAGTTAACATTTCTGTTCAGTAAGTAAGCGTGTTAGCAAAATGAGTCCATCCCCGGGCCCCCTACGCTCACTCAGTGGTTTGTTCGGTGGTTATCGCACCTGCCCAGAGATTAACTCACCATATACACCTCGGAGCTGGTCATGAATCCTTGAATATACACCTCGAGGCGGGTCATTAACTCTAAAATAATGACTTACTTTTGATGTGAGACTGGCGGTACTCCACTGGTCCATCCAGCACTTCCCGGCGAATCACCTGGTAGGTGCTTTGGTTGTGGTCGGAGGTGAACCTGTCACAAAATTACGTATAGTGTTTCATTATTTTAAGCAAATGTCCCATTTTGGATTGGCATAATTCTAACATATGTGTGTGAAACATGCTTCTATGTAACAAAACAACAACTATTCAGGTACTTAACGTACGTATCTTTGGCCGTCTTATAGGGACCAATATCCCATGCTTAACGGACATTCCTCAAAGGTTCCTAAGACCCATGTGCAGTCTAGGCCGATGACAAATATTGTACAGAAAACCAAGGCTAAAAAGGCGACCAATATTCTACGCAGCAGGAGTGATGACCTTTATAAGATATCTTTACAAAGAAGACTATTCACGGTAAAATGTACCAGGAAATAATGGAACAGAGTCGTGTGCAATCATTATCACATCAGGGTTTTTTTGTATAAAATGTGAAAGTATATTATCCTAGTATCTTATAACAAATCAGACATATAAGGTCTATTTCCCTGACTCACAGTTCATTTCCCCTGAACTGGTGCTCCTCCCCGAGCGCCTTGTGGATCCTTTTGACCTCCAGCTGCAAATTGTGAAATATACGTACAATCATTATCATGTGGTCTTGAAATTCTTATTTAACTATCATGATCTGTAACATTTCCTTTAAAATGAACCACACACTCCGTCAGGTGCCAGCTGACGCTTAACAACATGCTACCAAGCATTCAATAATATAAGTAATAATACTAATAATAATGAACTATAAATACAAACGTACTGCAAGCTCATTGGGGACTTTCTTGGGTGTGGAGGGAAGTGGGGGAGCAGGAGCGGCTGGCCTATCCTTCAGCTCCTTAAGGAGATCTATGATCTCTCCCTGGGACTCTCTGTTCCTCTCCACCTCCCTTGCCAGCTCTTTCTGGTCCTTGCGGATTTTGCTGACGGCCCTAAAACAGAAAAGTCCAAAGTAAGAAATTTCACACGATGGAATGATGCGCGCGAGTAAACTCCCAGCTCGCAGTTGGTTCCCAAGGTAATAAAAGCAGAATGTGTTTACAGTCTTGCGTGAGTTATGCAAATTGGGTGGCTAGCATTCAGGCTTTGGGGGCGCCCTGGGGGGTCGAATGTAGTCGCCGTCTCAAAACAAGGGTTACAGTTGCGAGTACGTACAACTTAGTCAATTTTAAGACTCCGTCCGGAGGTTATGACCTCCTTAACGGAGTAACAAATCTCCAAGCCTGCTCCAAGCAGATTCACCACTGGGACGGAAGGCGATCAAGCCACCCGAAGTACTATCGACCCCTTGTAAGGCGGGTGGCCAATTTGATCGTATCAGGGAAGGTATAGCCTCTACCAGGCTTGAGGGCGCGGCTGGAAATAGTAGAAATTGGCCAAATAGAGTAAGATAAACGTACACGCCGAGGGAGTTAGTCAGCCAGTTTACAGAGCTAGGGCCCGGTGTTACAGGGATCTCGCTCCCGTGATTTCGCCCTCCCCGGGACGAATTCTCTAGCGATTTCGCCCTCTCCGGACCGAGATCACTAGGGATTTCGCCCCCCCCCCCAGCTAGCGATTTGGTCCCCC